TGCATGAATCGCCAAATAGTTATATATATATCATTAGAGCTGTTTTTAAAAAAAGGCTAACTCAATATTTTATCCAGAAAAATATTACGCAAGCCTAAAGATTTTGTTCATAGAAGGAACAAAGGTTTAGACATATATTATCGAAATCTCGAGGCTTAGACAGTATTTTTATGGGTAAAATATTCAGAGCTGTTTTTTAAAATTGGTTCAAAACGAGCTTTAACAACACTACAGATACAACAGTTATTTTCATGTTTTTTTTTATAATTTTTTTTTCAACTTTTATGATTCGAAATAATTGTTATTTTATACTTGTATATATTTAAAATTTCAATTATTTCTTTTAAAATACATTTATAATGCCATCAAGAGAATTGACACAAAATGAAGTAATTTATTTCTGTTTTTATAAAATACATTTTTGTTAAATAACTGGAAAGTCTAATGAAGAAATGTAATATTGATGTTCAAAATAAAATGCAGGAGATACTTATAAAGACATCCAAATTGTGCAAAGGGTTTAAATGGTACACTATGCCAGCATCATGTTAATATGTTGGTAATATGCATGATAAATATTTTTATTTAGGCATATATCAAAAGAATTCAAAGAAATTTGTAATGTAATACCCCCATTTATTATACAGAACAAATATTCTCTTTTAGCTTTAGGCCAATGTTACCCTAGTCCTTCATTTTATCTACCTTTTAAATATATTTGATAATTATTTTAAGCTTCCTGCTTTAATTATTTACATGATTATTTTTTTTATAATATTTTTGGTAACTATTGATTTTATCCTTATTTATATATAAATTATATATTATATATAGTTGAATAAATTTATTTTGAAAATCTGATTATTGAAAAAAAAGGTATTCATTTATTTTAATTAATTTTATTTAAATGCAAGATTTTAAATCTGAGCATAGTAAGTGAATTGAAAGTGTTTGGATTCTTTTTAGTTATTAATATAATTTGATAACTTAATCTAAATATCTATTTTGGTTTTCCAATTTCTTAATATAATGTACCAAAATGTATAGAGAGGAAATCTTTGTATACCTAGTATATTAACAATATAATATAATTAAAATTATAAAGTACTAAAATTATTTTACTCATCTTTAATTTCAATATAATTTCATCCATTATAAGAGGAATCAAAGAAACTAGTTATTTTACATAATCAAAATATTGTTAAGATAAAAAAATGTCATAAATAAAAGCTAATATATGGTGATTGTAATTTTATTTAATATTTATATAAAATATTTTAACAGTAGTATGTGTTATATATTTCGTTTTTTTTAGTAACAGAAGTTATTAAAATAATAGTTGAGTCATTGTTAATAAATATTTTTTTTTATATAGGATTACTAATGAATTATATTTTTTTTGTCGATTCATTGTTATAAGGCGTAATATTATATTTTTCTAATTATTAATAAATATATATATATTTTAACAATTTTAAAAAATTACATAAACCCAAAAAGAGAAAAAAATTATTTTATTTTTATATTTTTTTTTTACAAATTAACGTCTTATATTTTATTTAATAAACTATACGAAATATTCTAATAAAGGAAGTATAAAACCGCCTATATATATATAATAAAGCAATACATTAATATACTTAAATAATAATGGTTACCGTGACCGAGCGAACTGATCGCTAGAACCTGGTCGTTAGGGACACTAAAAAAAAGGGCGAAACTGTAAAAAAAAGAAGGGCGAAACTGTAAAAAAAAAAAGAAGGAAATAAAAAAAAAATCTGTGTAGATTAGTGATATATAAAAAAAAAAAAGCTTAGTGGTATATAAAATCTTTGTGGCTTAGTGATCTTTGTGGCTTAATGATCTTTGTGGCTTAATGATCTTTGTGGCTTAGTGATCTTTGTGGCTTAGTGATCTTTGTGGCTTAGGCCGCAAAACTTAGGCCTATAATTTTCTTCTAATCGTATATCTACTTCAAAATTTTTCAGAGTACCTAATTCTTCTTTAAAGACTTCATTATACCTATTCAAAATAATCTTTATTTCTTTGTCAACAATATCTTCAACAACATTCTGGTCTACCATATTATTAATTTCTTGTTTAATTTCGACTGAATTTACCTCTATTGTCTTTGTATCTCTTGTTTTCTTATTTTCTTCTAAGTTGCTTCTATATTTAATCAAAAATTCTGGTGTTCGATTTCTAAGTTTATCGAGTTGTTTATCCTTTATAATAGGTAACTTAAATCTATCGAAATCTATCATTTCACTATTTTCATCATTACTTACAGGGATAGTATCGAAAAATTTCCACCAATTATAAACTGGACCTAACGTTCTTATATCATACCATCCTAAAATCGGTTCAATCTTCAACGTCGTTATCCACAAATTTATACTTTTATTAACTCTTGGTAACCTTACCCTATAATACCCTAAAATTTTCACCATGCTACCATCCAATTGTTTGGCTCTTATCTTTTTTGTAACAAATTCTTTCTCTGGCCAAAATCTCATAAAATCCTTTATACTTATTAAACTAATTTCTGCTCCTGTATCTAATAAAAAACAAATTTCTGCTTCCTCCATGTTTATCTTTACTCTAGGGCATCTATTTTTCATTAAAAAATTCTCTAATTCCATTTAGTACGTCTACCCTAGTTGCCTTTTTAATTCTATATATTTCAAAATCTCTACTTTTTATCTTTATATCACTTCTATTAATATCGCTTGAATTATAATTATCCACGTTAAAGCACTTTTTATCATCGCAAAATTTCTCGTTCTTATTACCATAATTATTCTTACTTGCACTAGCATTATCAACATTATCCAAATTATCATTATTAAAATTAAAATACTTATTTTTACTACAATTATTAACATTAACAAAATTATTATCATGATCTAATATATCATTACAATTAAAATGCTTAATTTTACCTGAACTAAAATTAGAAAAACTATTATTACCAAATTTATTATTAAAATTAAAATATTTATTCTTATTTTCTACTAAATTATCAACATTAAAAAAATTCTTAAAATCATTATCCAAATATTTCTTTCTTAGTCATTTGTTACATTTTTCTTGAGTGTGTCCATCCTGGCCACAAATATTACATCTCACAATTATATTGTTTAACCTACATCTTATAGCTAAATGGCCATTCCTGCCACATCTCGCGCATTTCAAATCTTTTGTTAAATCACAATCACGCGACATATGGCCTGACTGACCACAGCTATAGCAACTTATCTGTCTGTAATTATCCGTTCGTATGAAGTTGTTTATATTTCTTTTCTTATCTTCCTCTCTTAATATATTCTCAATATTTTCTAACTCTTTAATCTCTATCTTAACGTAAGTCGTATTTCTTCCTATAATTAAACCTAACGTGAAACTTAAAATTAGCACCAAAAATATAATTATACTTATATTTTCAAGTATTAAACTTAATAAATTTATTTGCGTAATATACATTTAAGTGTACTCAATAACCACTTGATTAAAATAATTTTAAATAATTTAAAAAAATTGTATAAATATAAAATTACTACTATAATAAATAAAAGTAATAATAATTTACATAACATAAAATAGATTTGTTTTTACCTTTGAATTCCTACGTGAATATCTAACAGGCCCTGATTTACTTCGGTCCAAATTGTTATAAATCCGAACTTAACTCAGGGTGTTTAATCAGTATTGGGAGAGCAATTAAGAATCCAAGGTTTGTTAAATCTTTCTTTATTAAAATAAAAGATTAATTTTAATAATAATGATGTTTAATTACTTACCCTTGAGTACTTAAAATATATAATGTAATTCCTCTCAATAATTCTAATTTATCAAATTGTATATTTACCTTTTCTTTATTAACTCTTTCCTTTTTTATTAATTTTATTTTCAAAATGTCATCCGATTGATGTGTGTTAAAAAAACAATTTTTCTTAGCTATTTATATAGCCATAAAACATTATATGTAATTGCATATTAAAATAATAATTTTTGGAAGAAATAAATACATAAAATAAAATCCATCATTTAACTTAATTTTGTTACATAAACTATAAAAAAATGTAAAATTTGTTTTGCATATACAAATATAATTTTTCGCAGAAATAAACACATAAAATAAAATCCATCATTTAAATTATTTTTGTTCCATAAATATACTTTGCATAATCCAACAGCTTAGTGGTCTTGGTGGCTTAGTGATCTTTGTGGCTTAGTGGTCTTTGTGGATTAGGGGTATAAAAAGATCTTTGTGGCTTAGTGGTCTTTGTGGATTAGTGGTATAAAAAAAAGGGGGCTCAGTGATATATAAAAGAATATTTGTGGCATAGTGATATGTATAAAAAAAACTTAGTATTTGTGGCGAATTAACGCTAGATATTTATTTATTCAGTATATATATGTAATGTGTTTTATAGGAATTTTTACGGTCCTAATTATTTCATACCTCCTAACCTTACAAATAATTAAAATATTTATTTTAAAGGTTATTGTTAATTTCTTATAGGAAACATGAAAAGTTTAAAATTCATGAAATATTGGGAAATTCAATATAACATTTTGGGAGCGTTAATAATTTTAGTGATTTGGGTAGGTACTTTATTATTTGGAAGAAGGATTAAGAGAAGTAGAAATGTAAGGATTAAGGGTCAGACATTGACCATTGAGGGCCATAATGGAGAAGAAGATGTGATGGGTAAGGTAACCTGGTTACCTGTACAAGAATTGATCAAAGGATGGACTGATAGTAATATGGGAGAGTTAAATAGAAATGAGAGAATTAATAACACGGAAAAAAGGGACAATTATAGTAGACCTAGGTATGACAATCGGTTGGAAGAGTCGTATAGATGGCCAAGAGAAAATTCACAGGGAAGGCGAATGGAGATGAGAACAAGTTTTAATTTTCGAGGAAGAGAAAAATTGAGTTGTTATAATTGTGGAAAACCAGGTCATATGGTAAGAGATTGTCAAGAAACCAAATGTTTGGGTGTGGGAAATATGGACATATAGCCCCGTATTGTCCGGGAAAACGTGATAAATTACGATGTGCAGGTTGCGGACGATTTGGTCACAATAGAGAAGAATGCAATGTTAGTAATATCAATACTCGAGGCGGTTTTCCGCAGAGAGACATGGGGCAGATTGTGCCAAATGTGAAGATTATTGAAAATAGGGAAGAAAAGGAGATAGGAATACAAGATTTTACGGAAAATAAAGATCCGAATATTATTTGCTTTCGGTGCCGAAACGAGGGACATGTGGCAAGAGAGTGTGAGTACTTGTGACTATATGATAGTGAAAAAGGAACCTTAGAAGTCGGGAGGCGGCGGTTGGAAAAAATTGGCAACTTTAGTAGTAAAGGGAAGATGAAGAAATTGAAATGCATAAACATGATGCAAGAAGAGATAGTACATGATCCATGTCCTAGGGTGTGGATAAATTTAAATGGAAATATGGTATCCATGTTGTTTGATACAGGAGCGCCATCTCTGTAATGAGTTATGAAAATATATAAGTATTTGGGCGGAGGAAATGATTAAAAGTGAAGACATCAAGATCCGGCAATTAACCGGATCAGAGGTGGCTGTAATGGGAAGGGTGGAATTAGAAGTAATGTTGGAGAATAGAAGGGAGATATTGGATCTGTGGATAATTAACCGAAGGGTAGAAGCTGTATTGGGATGGGATTGGATTACTCGAATAGGACCTGATTGTGGATTTTGGGGTGTGTTCGCATAGTGGGGTACATTTTTAGCAATTAGAAGAGAAGAGGAGAAAAGAGATTTGAATTATTGGTATGGAGAGAAATTGCCAGGAATTGAGACCTTTTTGGGGGAAGTAAGGGGGAGAGAAGAAGGTGGAGGGTATGGTCGGGAGGAAATAGGGGAAAATTTTAGGGGAGAAATCAGGGGGAATTTTATGGGAGAAATCGGTGGGAGTTCTATGAGAGAAATCGGGGGAAATTTTAGGAGAGAAATTGGGGGGAGTTCTATGAGAGAAATCGGGGGAAATTTTAGGAGAGAAATCGGGGGGAATTCTATGAGAGAAATCGGGGGAAATTTTAGGAGGGAAATTGGGGGAAATTCTATGAGAGGAATCGGGGGAAATTTTAGGGGAGAAATAGGGGGAAATTTGAGGAGAGAAATTGGGGGAAATTCTATGAGAGAAATAGGGGGAAATATGAAGGGGGACGTAAAGAGAAATTTTAGAAGAAAAAATATGGGAAGTTTTAAGGATTGTCGTGACTATAGGAGGAAGAAAGAAAGGGACAAAACTGAGGAGAGGGAAGAAATTCCTGATCAAAAAGAGTTGGAGTTGAAGTCAGATGGAAGTCTAAATAATGGAACAGGGCTGCCGAAAGAATGGGCCAGAAAAGGTGACATAAAGCAAGAAAAAACAAAAGGAATATATAATCCTGAAGTAGATATGAAGGGGGAAGAAACCAACCGACAAGAAGAGAAGGGATTTCAAAGCAGGGAGATAGAAGTCGGAATAATCAAGGTACAAGAGGGAGTGCGAAGATTGGTGGATGATTATAAGGAAATCTTTAAGGAAAGTTTGAGATGTCTCAGAGATTACGAAGTGAATATCAAGTTAAAGTAGGGACATGTTCCAAAATTTTGTGCTTTACGACGAATACCGTTCGAAGGGCGAAACGAAGTGGATAAGGAATTGGATCGGTGGGTACAGAAAGGCATTGTATGTCCTATAGAATAGTGAATGGGCGATACCGTTAGTGCCAGTGAAGAAGGCCAATGGAAGGCTCCGTTTATGTTCAGATTTTAGGGTCACCCTCAATCCGTGGGTAGTGGAGGTCAAATATCCGCTGCCGAGAATTGAAGAAATATTAGCAAATTTGAAGGGTAGTGTATATTTTTCAAAAGTAGATTTTTTCAATGCCTACTTGCAATTACGAGTGAAGCCGGAGATACGAAAGCTATTGACTATCACTACTCCGAAGGGTTTATATGCATTCTGTAGATTACCATTTGGACTTAGCGTGTCAGCTCCGATTTTTCAACGGACTATGGCTGCTGTTTTTCAAGGGTTGGAAGGTGTGTTTTATTACATGGATGACGTTTTAGTGATGGGAGGAACTCCTGAACAACATGAACAAAGATTAGAAGAGGTATTTAAAAGAATCAGAAATAAAGGATTACGGGCTAGCGCGGAGAAATGTGTGTTAGGAGTGTCGGAAGTTGTATATTTGGGACATAGAATCACTGGAAAGGAGGTGAGGCCGGTAGACAAAAACATGACGGGGATTGCGAGTATGCTAAGACCAAATAATAAAATGGAGGTGCAGGCTTTTCTGGGAATGGTAAACTATTATCATCGATTTGTAGAGAGTTTTGCACAGATAGCAGCACCTTTATATAAGTTATTAAAGAAGGGAGAAAAATTTGTGTGGCAAGATGAGCAGGAGGATGCTTATGAAGAATTGAAAAGTAGAATCGGAAGAGAACCAGTTTTAGTATGTTTTAATAACGATTTAGAAGTGATATTAGCTGTAGATGTTTCGAATAGGGGTGTGGGTGGAGCATTGTTGCATTGTATAGACAAGCTGGAAAGACCTATTTTGTTTTTCTCGAGAATTTTTAGAGCCGCCGAAACAAGGTATTCCGTGATTGAACAAGAGGCTTTGGCAGTTATTTTTGGACTAACCAAGTGTCGAGAATACTTAATTGGTCGTAGATTTGTAATCTATACGGATCATAAACCTTTAGTCCATCTTTTCAAGAAAGATAATAAGGAGTTAATGTTGTCTCCCGGTTACAAAGATGGTTATTACTGGTAGGTAGTTTTGATGTGCAAGTAAAATATAGGCGGGGAAGGGAAAACTATTTACCTGATATTTTATCTCGATGTGGCACTGGAGAAGAGGGGAAGAAGTAGGATCTGAAGAAGTGGAGGAAAGAAAGGAAAAAGGACTGATTCGAGCGATAGCAGGGATATCTAGAGGTGGTCCCGTGACGTGGGAAGAACTAAAGAAGGTCACTTTGAAAGATCGCGAACTGATGAGAATTAAAAGGAGTGTTATGGGGAAGAGAACTTGGAGAGAGGGAGATAAATATTTCAGAAGCATAGAAGAAGAGCTGGCTATAGTGGATGAATGCCTGGTGCGAGGAAACCGAAGAGTAATACCAATGAAATTGAGAGGCGCAGTGTTATCCATGATACATGCGGGACATCAAGGTACTGAACGAATAAAACAATGGGGACGTGAATACGTGTGGTGGCCTGGCATGAATAGGGAAATTGAAAATATTTGCCGAGGTTGTTTAATGTGCAATACATGGGCCAAAATGCCCCATAAGGACAGGAAGAGTGTTTGGCCAAAGGTGACTCAGCCATGGGAGAGATACACGTTGATTTTTTTGATTTTGAAAATAAGATTTATATAATCGTGGTAGATGCTTACTCAAAGTGGGTGGAGTACGAGGAAGTAAGGGGGATAACGACGCAGGTGGTAGTGAAAACATTGAAAAATCTATGGGCCAGGTTTGGAGTAGCTCGAACGATAGTATTGGACGGAGGTCCGGCTTTCATCAGTGAACAGTTCAAGAGGTTTTGTATAGAAACCGGGGTAAGACATAATTTGGCGCCGCCATATCATCCCAGTTCAAATGGTCAGGCGGAGAGGGTGGTGTCGATTGTTAAGAACTGGTTAAGAAAATTAAAGTATGGGGGTGGGGAAATTTGGATAGCGGTGGCATATTACAATAATAGTAGAAAGGGAGAGGAACCGTCTCCAGCTGAGAAATTTTTAGGGCGGCGAACCCGGATATTATTAGACTTATTAAATCCGAAACCACTTCAAAAGATGGAGAGGGAGATAGTGGAGAAACCGAAATTTGTCTTGGGACAAACCGTGTGGGCAAGAATATATGTAGGTACAAGAAGGTGGGAATCTGGGGTGATCGTAGAAAACATGGGACACAAATTAAGTTGAGTAAAATTTACTGATGGAAGAGAAGGAACACGACATCGGGATCAACTAAAAAGGGGGCTGGAGCCAGGTAGGTTACGATCAGGAATATGAGGAGGAGTGATGTTATAGGAAATTAAAGGAAAGTATACATGTCTATGTACTCATAAAGGGAAATATGGATATTAAAGGAGAGTATACCTGCCTATGTACTCATAAGGTGAAATATAGATATATATAATAGGAAATGTTTTATATCAAAATTAATATATACAAAATTAATCGTAGGAAATTTATATATATTTAACATTGTCGAAATTCCCATTTATGTAATAATATATATCTTAAAGTAGCAATGTAATAATGTCTCAGTCATATGATGCATAAAAATATTAGTGATAAAATTTTCCTATTTCTCTCGCTTATTTTTTTTTTGAAAAGAAATATTAGCGTTATTGGCTTATTAACCATCATAAATCAAAAAAAAAACAAAAAAGAAAGAGAACTTATGATAAAAAATAAAATAATTAATACTATGTGGTGGTGCCCAAATATTAGTGCGTGTTAAATTATCAAATAAATTGGATATAAGGTGAGGCCCATATATAAAAGGGGGAAGAAGACAAAAAAAAATAAAAATAATAATAAATAAAGAAAGAAAGAAACAACAGACAATTTGTTTGGAAAATAATATTGAAAATATTGTGAATAAAAGTTGGAGTTGCGTGACTTTTATGGTTTTAGAAATGTGATGAATCTAGCTAGCTATAAATCAAGAATTTGGAGGGAATTATAACTTTTGGGAGAGAAAAAGAAAAGGGGGTTGACAGTTTGGCAGGGAAAAAAATAATAAATATTATGTAATAATTCTGTCAGGGAACTACGAGAGTAAAAGAAAGTTATAAAAATTTTTTTTGAAAAGAAATAATTTTTTTTTGTACCCTCTTTCTTACGATAAAAGAAGATCCTATATATTCAAAGGGAAATAAGTAAAATAATTGTTTTCATTTAAAATTAAGTATCCCGCCTTTACATGATTCAAAATGAGCGGAGTTCATCGGTGTCTATACTGGGAAGGATTGACAATTCGTGTCAGTATCTATCAAGGAAGAGTGGACGAGGAAGGCCGAAGATTACTGCCCTCAATGCAGGAATCGATAGAACCCAGATCTACCAGGAATGGAATAATGGATAGGGGAAGGACCCTGAATCATCGAAATGTGAGCCCGGAGTTGCCAGAGCCCAGGATGCTTAGGCTAAGACCCATTAGGCGGGCGAGAACGTGCTACTTATGTGAGAGCACGGGGCATTTACGTGACCGATGCCCCCGAGGGCCCACGCATAATCAGACTGGAT